AAATGAAAACTCTTGCAGTCAACAAGAGACACAAGTAGATGACTCAAACACAACAAATCACGTAAATAGTGTAAACAATAAACAAGAGGAACGCATAAACAGTAAACAAAAGAAACGCATGGCTACAAATGACCAATCAACTTCTACACATAATTACTCTGGTTGGACCATTCTTGTCTTACACATCTGAGTCACAAAGGTTACAAAGCAATCAAAATAAAAGATCCAAACCCAAATAGTGGTCTAATCTATTTGCAAAACTAAGAGGAGGAAAAGCAGTCTACACTAAATCTACCTCTAGACAAAGAATCTACTCTAAGAACAAGAATGCACTAGTAGTGGATATTCAAAACTTAAACAATATACCAACCAACAATATCATTGTAGCTCTAGCCATGAGCTTAAAAGAAGATCTCATAGCAGCAAAGACCCATACTTCAAGAGGAAAAAGAACCTATCTGGAACTTGTCCTAAAAGATAAAGAAAAAGTACAAATACTACACAGCTGAAGGCATTTCTCTCTTCAAGCAGACTATGTTCAGATATATTCCAGTCAATCTTAATCAATCTTTTTTAACTATAAAAATAAAGAACACCCCTATAGACAAAACCAAATATATTAGCAACCGTATCTTAAAAGTATTAAACTTCTCTTCTATAAAGGAACTATGGTCTGCTCAGATCAAAAATTCCTAGAACTACTCAAATTGGTAATCAAAAAGTAACAACAGAACGGAAAGAATCTCCTAAAATCTGCTTTTATTGTGAAAGAGAAGAACACGTCAAAAAAGACTGTGAAGAGACTAAAACCTCAATAGAATCTAGACGCCTTCTTAGAGAAGCCAAGTCTCAATTAGAGAAAGAAAAAACTCAAAAATTAGAGGCTACAAAAATCAATTTTAGCTTTAACAACCCATATAGAAATGATATGGAAGAAGAAAAAACTCAAAAACCAGAGAATACAGAAAATAACTTCAGTTTAGATAACCTATACAAGAATGATATAGAAGAAGTAATCCAGAACAAGGAAGAAGTTATAGTCCAGGTCTTAACTGCAATATCAGAAGAAATTCTAAATTTTAGCAAAAGCTCAGATAGCAACATGGAATTGGATTCTTCATCTATTT